CTCTCTCTCTCTCTCTTTCGGGGTCGTTTACTTTAACAGATCCATTCTGCCCCTCTGTGGACATTTAAAGGAATTACAAGTTGGAGCCACATATCAAAGTCCTGCTCCATAGATGGTTGATGCAACAGCCAACTGAAAGCTCTTAAATCCGTTTATGTCAGGGCTTTAATACATTCAATTACATCACGCAGTCTCATTAGGAAATGATATCTTCTTTTATCCCTTTAGACTTATTTAACCCTTGACATCAACATTTGATATGTGAAAAAATAAAGTTTTAACATTTGTGGCCCCAGTGGGACATAGAGCACAAATCGTGGCAGCAGTATTCTAAAATAATAATACATCATCAGTAAATATAATCAGGACCAGTGTCTCAGGCACACAAGGCTGAGACATCCATGATGTTTTACATCAATGAGCTGGTTTTCACATCCACCGCTCAGTTTTTCTGAGAAAGAAAACCAAACAAGTGTTTCTTATAGTTATAAGTCCGATTTAAAGCCCCTTTCATAAGAGACACTTTATATAGGCTAATCAAAACAAGCAGAAACTAAATTAATAAATAGCTTGATTAAAGAGATTTCAATCAGGAGAGACAATTGAGTATAGATAATTATTTATTATAACATATGATATATGATGATTAAGTCCTAACATAAAGTCTTTGGCGCTTGAACTGAGTTTTGTGATCGGGGGTGTCTGCCCTGAACATATTATATATATAAACTCCCCATGGACTCCAGACACATGGTGGTGGTGGCTGATGGCTCTGCTGGTGCTGATGAAATAATGAAGCTGAGGTGTTGGATAGCTCACCTGTTAGAGCTGGCACCCCGATTTACCAAGGCTGAGTCCTTGCTGTGGCGGCATGGGTTTGACTCTGCCCTCTCTCTTCGCCATTTCCTGTCACTTTTCAGCTGTCACTATCGATCAAAGGCAATAAAATCAAGATGAATCTGCAAAGACTGGGCACAGCACTATGAATGAGTAACAGTAGGATGATAATAAGATGTTGCTGGGCTATTGGATTATAGCCATTACTGGCTTAATACATGTCCAATTAAATTTTAATGAGCAGTGAGCCAATTGCTTTGCAACAAGAGACAAAGAGAAGACAAAACATTAAAACAATGACACAATAAAAAGCAATTAAAAGAGTTGGCCAATTACACACATTTCCCCTCACATTATTCTTTATGGGTGCAGTCAGCAGCAGCAACACACACTTCAACTACACCCTGCTCATGTTTGACCTAATTACAACAGTGGACGTCAATGATGCCTGTTTGTCTTATTTTTTTCCAAGCAGACAAAAACACTTAATTGTACGTCTACACTTAAGCATTTAAAAGTGCCGTCCTCTAAGATTTACTGTAAAAACAAAATAACATGCTTAATCGACTGTGCGCCTTTTGTTTAGGGGCTCCTCATCAGTTTTCCTCTTGGGGACAATAAGCTATTACAGGTGATATTGTGCTGTGTTGTTGTTGATATCTCATAGCCCACATATGCACACCATTTAATACCCCTGTGCAAAGTTGTTTCTGCTAGTTTAAGGTACATTTCTACACCAGCTGAGCCTGAACTGAAGAACAGATAGACACTTAACAACATGCTGAGTTCAGTACTCGAGTAAATGAGTTGCTTTCCCCTCTCATCAATCATCAATGATTACAGTAACAATGAATCTCTTATTTTGTGCCTCCATCTTGTGGTTTCTCTAGGAACTGCACCATGATCTCAAATCATATTTTGAAAATAATTCAGAAATTATTCAATTTAATTCAATTAAATTGTATTTGTATAGGTAAAGAGAGAAGGACAGAGACAGAGACAAAGATGCTCAGCAACACAATCGCAAGAAATTACCAATAATGATGATGATGCTGCTGATAATGATGATGATGATGATGATGATGATGATGATGATGATGATAATGCTGATGCTGATGCTGATGATGACAGCAAAGGGGAATGGTGAAATTATTTGTTCATAAATCTACTTTGCAGAGTTTTGACCAGAGAGGGAATGTCAAACATGCCTGGGATGGAAGGGTGGGAACTTTCTACTTCTCTGAAGATGAACCAACCTGATACATCTTCATACCTTGAGGAAGTAAAGGGGAAATGCAACCAAACAAGACCCCTGGCGGACGCATAATACTGAAGGTGAAGGCCCTATGCTCAATGAGACTGCTGTTTTGAATCTTAACGTGTCTGCATAATGATAAATTAGGAAATTTCAATTTGTTTCCAGATGAGTTTCTTGTCTTTGGGGTTTAATTAAAAAAAAAAAAATTAAATTAAAAAGGGCACAAAACATAAATAATAACACCAACTGAATTTGTATCACCAATTTTGCAAATTATTTCTTTTGAAAGATGCTCAACCTAGTCACCTTATATCAAATGGCATGTCACAATGGATATTTATGCAGTGGAGCATCAGCCCCTACAGCGACAGGTTAGTCCATGTGATCTGCAGCACGCACAGCGGCTACAGACGCACTCTGCGGCTGACAATGAATTATACAGGTGAACAGATGAGAAAATTCCCCAAATCCTTTATCTTCTTAGTCCGTAGCTGCTCTCGACTGTCAGTATTTAATACTGAGAGAACAACCGGCCCTGCTTCAATATAAGAAGTCACATAGCGCATCTATCCCCCTCTCTCTCTCCCCCCTCTCTCTCGCTGTCTCTCCTCGCAGAGACCTACTGCCCGGTCCGCCCTTCTCCCTGCTGCCATGGCCGCGGAGGCTGCCGGTCGGGATGATGCGACGGCCGGTCCTGCAGACTGCACCGAGATGGAGGAAAGGGTAAGATGCTTTTATAGCATTTAGGATGTTCTCTCTGCGAAAACCTTCCGGATTGAGACCGTCTGTTGATAGCGGGCCTCTCCGCTCCCTGACGCGCCGCTGCAGCAAGATGGAGAGAAACTGTGCAGGATGCACGCCAGCGCAGCAACCTCAGTGGTGTCTGTTATTTTGTTGGGGTTTTTTTGCACAGCATTCAGCTACACATTTAGGTTTAGCATTAGGGAGGATGAGCTTTATCGTGTGAGCAACTGAGAGAGAAGGGGTGAGAGAGGGGGCGCCGTGCACCCGCACTGCTGCTGCAGAGCTCACATCCGCTGATGTGAAAAGGGAGAAGTGAAAGTGCAGCAGCTGGTCGGTCCGTGGATGTAGGCTACCGAGGCTCAGCTTATAAATAGCCCCCACAGTGGCCATTCTTTAACAGTTTGCGTATCACTCGCCTGGTCTGTGCTGAATCCGGAGAGATTTGAGCGCGCCTGTCAAGCCCGTTTTCTTCCCTTGGTGGTGACGCAAGTTGGCAACAACTTGGCAGGCAAGGTAGGAGTTTTTCCTGATCAACAGAGCCGAGTGTAAATGAAAAGAGAGGCATTGTTAGGCTGATTGAGGTCTTTATCAGAGGAGAGCCCGCAGAGGCACAGTGTGGTGCTTTCTTTAACTGTAGGCTGTTCATTAATGGGACTGCAACTAATTATTTTGTAACAATTCTCTATTTGGATCAAATAATCAAGCACTTAAAATGTAAAAATCACAAGTTATCAGGACCCAATTTAGAATACAGACAATACATCCCCAAATATTAAGTTTATGACAGGAAACAGTGACAATCAGGATAATCTGAGAATTTGTGGAGCTGTAACTATCAAATATTTGTTGTTTTTGTGCCAATAATATATATTTTTTTTAGATATTTAAAAAAAAAAACTTTACATTTAAAAAAGCCACCTGTTACAGGCTGTGTAGAAGGGTGTGTGTGTGTGTGTGTATGAATGTGTGTGTGTGTTAGGTGGGTATTCTTCAGAGGAAAGCATCTGTTCTCCACCTGCCGGCGGGTGAACTGAACCTGTTCTTCCACTTTGTAATCACATGAGCTGAGAAGTTTGAGTCAGTTGATGTTTACTTGCTCTGTAGTAGTTGTCTTCAGCTTGTGGACTCCCTCTTCTCTCAGGGTGAGTGTTTGCTCAGATTGCTGCTTTATCCTCCATCAAGTTGACATTTGCTGTCAGTGCGTTTTCCTGCAGATGAGTTTATCTTTTCTTTTTTAAAGCATTATCTCAGATGCCACTGATGGATTGATCGCAGCCTCCAGGCTAATTCATACAGAACGTGGGTGAGATTTGTTTTTGTGTATATTCTGCAGATATAGGCTACAACGCCAAAGGTGAGCCCAAGCAAATGTGTCAGATTACGCAATGCAGTCTCCCTAATCTCCTCACTGCAAAATGAGGGATGCTGGATTAAAGGAGGGAGTTAGTTGGCGAGTGGGGGAAACCCGTGAAAGAAGGCCGTTATTAGAGATTACTGGGCAAAGGATTGTTTTACGACCTAAATACTTTGTCTGCTGAGGCTTGACAAAGATGCAAAGAAGCCACCAGGAATATCAAAGTATGAGAGCGTTGTTTTGGTGGTCTCCCTCATTTGCATTCTTGAAAAAAGCACTAATCTGTTTTTTTTCATCCACTTGCAGTAAAGCCTTTTAAACCACCAAAGCTACAGACTTCTGCAGAAATAAAACTAGTTATTGTTTCTCAGAAAGCTTTTCAGTAATAAAAAACTTTCAAGCAGCAATTTCCTCTCCAATCTTAAAGAGTTTGCTGATGTGTTCTTACCCTCTGTCTATGAATTTAAAAGCACCTAACATTTGAATTATGAATTCACTAGATAATATTTATGATTTGACATATGTTATATCAGTCTTGATGATACATTGTCAGTACAGAAACAGTAAGGAGTACATTCTGGTCTAACAGGTCATTTGACTGAGGATTCGTGCATTTTTAATTTAATATGTATGGTAGTCAGTTCCTACAAAATAAAGGAGGGGAATTCCTTGTATGCGTGTATGTATGTAATATTTGTGGTGTTAGCAAAGAGGGAGACAAGACAACTTTGGGCCTAAAACAAACTGCAGCAGATACATTTTAGATGCAGTTTGGGGAAGCTTTCTATTTAGCACTGCAAAACCATAACAGAAAGCAGAAGATGAGAAGATGACATTATTCTCTCTCTACTGTCCCTCAGTTGCCTTTCGTTTAAACTTGTATATTTAATCGATTACAGGAGGTCAGTGGAGTATATTATGGTTGTAAACCAGTAAGCCACTCGTAGGACATTTTGATCTGTTTACTGCAGTAATATTGTCAAATGTGTTTTACACCAAGTCAGTTTACTTCACACCTAAAAGTGTAAAAAGTGTTTAGAAATAACCACAAATGTCCCTCAGATTGAAGCCTTTTAACCATCTGACATTATTTAACTGATATTTCCTCATATAACACCTTCTTTCTTGGAGGAAGACTGTACGTATGCTTGCACTACACATTCCTGCAAACAGTATTTCATCTTCAGTACTTTCTTTAGCTCTAAAATTGCATCTGAAACAGCCCGGCATCTGGTCTTAAACACTGAGCACCTACTACTGTATAAAGTCTTATTACAAGCCTTTATAATGTATGTGCATATGTGTTTAAGATATACTGTATGTACATATAGTAAATAATGGAGGACAAGTGCATCATATCATTAATTATTATTCTTTTTTTTTTTTAAGTATATTTTTGGGGGCTTTTATTGCCATTATTATAGTGACAGCTGAAGATAGACAGGAAAGGGGGGCAGAGAGAGGGGATGACACGCAGCAAAGGGCCGCAGGTCGCTTTCGGACCCTGGGCCGCTGCATCAAGGACTCAGC